GTTGACAGGAGGTCAGAGGAGAAATATGAAATGAAGAGGTTTTGTAAGGTGCTGGTGTAGATTCTGCACTGATGTTACTCAGAGGTGTGAGGGGATGACGACTTAAAAAAGAGAATATGAACAGCATTCAGTTTATGAGTTCAGTACATGTAAAACTGTATCAGTTTACATAAAAATTTTAATTCAGCCATCATTTCTTCATCCTCAGGCTGTTCCTTTTCCATGAATTCACAGAGAAAACAGTTTTATTCAAAGCAACTCTGACAAAATATGCAACAGCAATTAACCAAAAGAGAACAAAAGGATTATTACCATACCAAACCTCTGTGAGTAAACCTATATGTTTTTCTCTTACATGCAAAAAAGAAAGAAGAACTTTTGCTAAATGCACAAGCTGCTATTTTATAATATCATATACAAATTAATGACTGATGAACTGTCAGATTCACACCAACGACAACCGGCAAAATCATCAAATCTAGTGTGGGAGATCTAAATGCACTATGTTTGAATGTATAGGCATGAATTAGATTTGAAAGCTATTTAAATTTTGGTCTGCTTGTCACACGAAGCTATCATATGTTTTAGAACATATTTTAGAATATGCTTTTAGGGGTTTTCAAAGTCAAAGACAGTGGGCTTCCCTTTTGACACAATGTAGTAGCAACCTCCCCCCTGAATTCTGACAACTAAATACAGTGAAGTGTGTTCCTAATCTATGACTCACTGCAATCATCTTTGATCCTTGAATGTAATAGTCATCCCTCAAACGTGGGGGGAGTTCTCAATAATTGTGGATGTAAACATATTATACTGTAAAGAAGGCATCAAAACAGCCTTCTGGCAGTTTGCTTTAAATATGGGTTAACGTGACATGGAAAGTGTGTCAGGAATTATGGTTGCATATCTATTATGGGCCTGCAGTATGTGCAGTTCATGTTGACCTGTTAAAATCAGCCATCAGGTCAAAATTATAGTGAGATGAATAAAATATAGATGAAGAGTGTTATCAAAAGTGGTGTGTCCAGGGCTTAAAATTAACACTCGCCAATCACCAAATGGGATAATAAAAAAAAACAGCTTCAGTGCAGTGGCATAAGTTTGTATTAAAATGTGTCGGGGACTAGGTTGTGTGTGGGGGGGGGGTTGATGTGAAGTTGTCATGGCAATGATATACATTGCCTGCGGGTTGATTTCCCTTTACTGGATGCACTATAAATGTCGCAAGAAGCAGTAAATATATATGCATAAATTCATTTGTACAGAACATCATCAGACTTCTCTGGATCAGTTCCCACTCATTTGTGTGCGTATTTCTCCGTGCAATGTACAGTACAGTAGCCGCACAACACCACCAGCACATGAGTGGCAGCAGTGCGGTATCCTCTCTTTTACTCCAACATGCCTATTTTTAAAAAAATGGTTTCAAAAAGTGATTATTATACTATACTATACTATACTATACTATATTTCAGATTATTATACATTTAAAGAGGTGTGCAATATGCCACTAAATAAATACAACGATAGAAAATGTGGATTACATGGGAAAATTATTACAGTGTTTCTCAATCGATTTGACACATTTCTCCAAACTCAGGTCACTGTTCTCAAACACAGTGATCTGAACATTTTGTAATTGTCCTAAACAGATTATAAGTTTTCATTCATTTCATACAAATTACAAATCTTGCTCATAATTTTCTCAAAAAACTATGCACAAAACTCTCAAATGTTTTCATAATGGTTAATACAACCAATACTTTAAAATATATTTTAAACGTAATTGTAGCTTCTTTTATTGGTTTTACACAAATCACAAATATTTATGTACCATCTGTCCAAACACAACAAACAAAATTCTTTCATTTGACATTCTATCAAATGAACATGGTATATTTTATCTAAACTGATAACTACTCGGTTAATCATAAACTCAACACAGGAAATGCAGCTTTCCTAATCATTAAGACATTTATCACAATTGCTTTAGATTAATAATAAAAGGGAAAGTATACAAAGAGCACAAAAGAATATGCAATAAAGAAAGAAAGAAAGAAAGAAAGAAAGAAAGAGGTCTAAGTCTATAAGGCAGTGGATAGGGGAGAGAAAGGGGCGTAATGAGAGAAGAAGAAGAGTGGAACAGGTAGAAAGAGATGAGCAGAGAGGAGGATGTGAGAAAAGAGGAGAGGAGAAGGAAGAAGAGGTAGAAGGTGCAGATGTAAAAAAAATCATGGCCTCTCCTTTAGAGAAGCTCTAGGAAAAAGTTACTATGTCAATACACTTATAAAGTGTTGTACTATGATTGTTGATTGTTTCGATTTTTAGTCCTCCTGGGACAACTTCTGTTATTTACAGTGAATGTCCAAACATTTTTCAGAATTTAAGTTCAAGAACATTCAGGTGGACAATCAAGATTATTTGAATGCATCAGGAGCATTGTTGACATGGTGGTCCAGAACAACATCACCAGCCACAAAGGAAGAGGCCTGCGGAGATGTTGAGA